AGTCATCTGAAGTAAGAAAACACCGTGGACAAAATGTAATGAGTTTCTGGTTTCTGATTAAACTTTATTTATAAAAAATAAACAGCATCAGGCTGAGCTTTGGGAATGCTATTGAAGAGAGATAGGAAGGACTATAAGAGCCCGGGGGGGGGGGTGTTACGGTCAGCACAAGGGAACCCACAGAAACAACCCACCTGGGCTCATAGGAGCTCACAGAGTCCGAACCTGCAGTCAGGGAGCCTGCAAGGGACCAACCTAGGCCCCCTACATGTGGATAACCCTTGCATAGCTTGGTCTATCTATGGGACTCCAATCAGTGGGATCAGGGCCTGTCCCTAATGCTTGAGCTGGTATTTGGGAACGTGTTTCCCAACATGTTGCCTTTCCCAGGCTTAATACAAGTAGAGAAGCTTAGTCCTACCTCAACCTGACATACCATGTTTTGTTGATACCCATGTGAGGCCTGCCCCCTCTGAACAGAAACAGAAACGGAGTGGATGGTGGGGGGAGGGGGATGCCGAGGGGATCTATGGGGAGGAAATGGGATGAGAAGAGGGAGGGAAAACTGTGGTTGGGGTGTAAAATAAATGAAAAAAAAAGTTAATGAAAAATTATAAAAGCTTCATTCATCATAAAAAGATAAGCAGTGTAGAATTTTGATGTGGACCACAGTCAGCTGACTCTACCTGGTAGGTGTGGTCATGGTCTGGGTATGGTGCTCTGTGGCTCCTGTACTCTTGTTCCCATAACTGAAAATAGGGTCTCCCACAGGACAGCAAGGTAACGTTACTAGATCAACAGAAGCCGGTGGTAGAGGGCGACTCTGTCTCAAGTGAAGGAGTAAAGCCCAGAGCAGGAGGGTTGGCCGTCCCCATGGAAGAGCAGAACACATGGTTGTCCAGGGCCAAACAGTCAACCCTGAAAACATAGATACAGACTCAGGAGCTTCGAATTAGGAACATATATGTGTATCCATCATGCATGCAGTAACACTGAAATAGGAGGCCATGAATTTGAAGGACACCTGGCATGGGCATATATGAAGGTTTGCAGGAAGGACAGGGGAGGGGAAATACTGTAATTAACTTATAATCTCAGAAATTAAAAAGAAATACTTTCAAAAAAGAATGAGAGTGGGTCATGGAAGTCAGAGGCCTCGAGGTCCCCACACTACATGCTGAGGACACGTTTAAAGGGCCTGAACGTTTAGGGGCTGGTTCCCGAAGGGGAAATTTACAGAGACCCTTCTATTTTGATGGATATATTTGGTTATAAAATCATTTCTCTCCTGGGAATGTCCCTTCCTCTACTGCTACAGATTTTTCCCACATGCATGCCCAGTTACATCAGGCAGGAGATGGCAAATAGGGGACCCGGAAAGGTCACTAGAGGACACAGGTCCAGTGCCCTTGGAGCCAGGTCAGGAGGACGCTTCAGCTCTTCTACTTGGAATATTTGGACAGGTTGGGAACAAACTGAAATGAAACTGTAAATTCAGTTGTCATCGTGGACAGGGCAACATATAGCATTCTCTGTGATGGGGAATGTGCAGCCCACTGCAGGTGCTGGAGTGAATCTGAGGCTGCTAGAGGCATGTGTGTGCTAGATGTAGGTCAAGGGAGTATGTGGTGATATTTTATTTGCGCTTTGATAAATAAAGCTTGCCTGGAGATCAGAGGAATAGGAATAGCCATTATAATAAACAAAGAAGTCAGGCAGTGATAGCACATGCCCTTAATCCGACCACTTAGCAGAGAGGATCTCTGTTTGTTCAAGGCCATACTAGGGACCAGAGCCAAGTGTGGTGACACACGCCTTTAATCCCAGTACCAACCATAGAGGCCTGGAGGTCTGTACAGACAGGCAATGACAAGGAAGTGAGGTTGCTAGGCTAAGAGCCAATGAGAGGGCAGAAAAGTAAGGCATACAAAGGCGTGGGTAGATGGGAAGTAGCTCACATTTTGGAAGCTGCAGAGTTGGTACGGTAGGTTGCCTGGTGGCTCTCACTATTTCCCTGATCTAAGGCTTTCACTCCTATATTTGGAAGCATGTTTTTTATTTAATAAGACCATTTAGAATTTTGTCTACAGAAGTAGGGTACAAAATGCATTATTACCATGGGATGGGAGAATTGAACCCAGAACCCTATGGGGTCCCAAGGAGGACTCTCTCTTGTGATTGCCTGCCTCAATCTGACACTCTATTAGCATAAGGACAAGAATTCATGGCCAATTTGGCAAAATTCAGTTTTACCCGTGCCATCAAAGAAGGCCATAGGAAAGACACTTGGAGGAATGGGTTCACGGTAATTATAAGCTGTCTCTAGTGCCGACTGCTCTTTTATGTAGATGTTTGGACAGCGCTTTCTTGTGTCTTGTCTCTGCATTGCAGCTCATAGTTGCAAAGTGAGAGTCTATTAAGCCACAATGTGCACAATATCCAATGCTTTGCCTATTACAAAATGAGAGAAAACAATAGTGTAGGCTTGGGAGGATGGATTCTTAGCATGGTAGATACTTGCCTTCATCCTTCTTCATGAAGGTCTGCTGAAGGCAGAGCCCCAGAATGGGTCTGGCTCCCTGGTCCTACTGCCGGTTTATAGCTTTGCAAGCCATGTTCAGCTGGAGGCAGGACGGCAGCACAATCCTCTGGGTGAGGAAAAATCTTATAATTTTAGTGCTCTGGGCTCACAGGGCAGATTTGCTCCATTTCCTGCATTTGATCATTTTTCTAATTCTGACAGAAAAGGAACATCTTCACAGCGGTGCCGCGTTATCTTACCAGCATCAAATTTTCAGTCTCAGAGGAAGCCTCCTGAGGGACACATGGCCTTGGTGAAGCACACTCTTTGTTCTGGGTGATGTTTGGTCCAGGAAAGGAAAGCAGTCATATGACTTAACATAAACGTTCAGAGGCCTGGACTTAAAGAGTCTGATGGTGTGAGGTGAACTGGCCCTTCCAGCCTACCTTTCTGTTAGTCTCCACACTCAGAAGTGAGCTTTGTCCTTTGGGGAGGTACACGCTCCCTGTGCCTGGGTGTATTTCCTTTGTGAGAATCAGCAGCAAGTGTCTGTAGTCTTTTCTCTGGGATGCAAAGATGTGTTTACAGTCTGCCTCAGCACACCTCATGGTTCTGAGGAAACTAAGGAGGCTTAGATCACGGTTGGAGGCTATGCAATGCCTTCTAAGACATCAATTTTAGGCTTACAGGTTTTCATTTGGTTGGTTAGTTTTAGCCTGAAAGGTCATGAGCACCAGTGTCCTAGAGGACTGACCACCGTGCCTTCGGTCTTGCTATTGCTCATGTTCCGTGGCACGGAGAGTCCTTGTTCTACAAAACAGATGGAGGAAAAGACTGGAGGTTAGAAGTTCCTTTCCCAAGGGCACTGCTCCTTCCCAGTGCATTCCGGAAGTGTCCGTTCCTAGTTGCCAGTCTGGAGCCCCATTTCCTGCACTGTGAAGAAAAGTGATTTCTTCTTGAGTGACCTCTAAAGATGCCTGCCCACAATAGTCAATAGTCAACTTCTATGAATATTTTCTCTTAGATTCCTCACATAGAGAAAAACCACTGGCCTCAAATGGTGATGCATGTGCAAGAGAAATATCTTGTACCAAATACAATGATTAATCAAAATTTATAACATGCCCATCTGGTTTCAAACCAGAGGCTTGCCCTGAAACACATATTCCCTGTTTTCTATTGCTCTGACAAAATGCCTGAATCAGAGCATGGTATAAAAGGTTCGTGTGTTTCTTGGCAGGCAGCTAGAAAGCTCCACCATGGTGATACGGGTGCACTGATAGGAGCGCCCTGCCTGTGCCAACCGCCCAGAAGTGAAAAGGAATGCACTGTGGGCAGAGGAGCCAAGAGTTCAGAGCAGCCCCATGTGGGAACCGCTCATTCTCAAGGGAAATAGGATAGTGGTTGACCTCCTGACCCACTCTAGAGAGACGAGACTTATTCATTTATTGAGCACTGCTCCCACAACCAGATTCTTGGCAGATGTTCCCTCATCCAGCACAATCTTACCACCTCAGCATGTCCCTACTAACAACCTCACTTACACAATGTTTTGGTTTTATTGTTGTTATTGTTTTCTGAGACAGGGTTTCTCTGTGTAGTTTTGGTGCCTGTCCTGGGTCAAGCTCTGTAGACGAGGCTGGCCTTAAATTCAGAGATCTGCCTGGCTCTGCCTCTCAAGTGCTGGTGTTAAAGGCGTGTGCCACCGCCACCCAGCACACTTACACAATATTAATATTGGGAGGACAAACCCATGCCAGGCTGAAGCAAAGCCAACACTCACACCTCCAGATGGCCTGATGCCCAAGGGAATCACACAATATTTATTTGCTTCTGGAATGTTTGATTCAGCTGAGTTCGAGCCTCTTCATATTTCAAGTATTCTTTGCCTTCTCTTTTGTCTTGGTGATTTTAATTAACAGTATTGCTGCAAGTTGTTAATGGCTTTTAATGTGACTTAACCCCATTTGAGTTCCTAATGGCCTTCGTCTAGAGTCCAGTCCTGTTAATAAGGTCACTCATACACTGTACTTCAGCAAGACTTCAGAGATTTCATTTAACTCGGGGCATGCCTAGATTGAAAACACATGTTTTCATTGTTCTTTTATGAGATCAGATTCTGATGTTCTTGGAGAACCGATTAGAAGGAATATCAAGATTGGAAACAGAGTGTATTAGTTTTTCTAGCTGCAGTAACAAATGGTCACACATTTAGATTTGTTCCCTAGAGTCCCGGGTCAGACCAAAGTGAAAACACTGCTGAGAGCCTCTGGACGCTCGAGTGGAAGGAAGACCTGTTGTGTCCCTGCCTGGCTTTTGGAAGCTGTCCAGTCTGGGGTGGGAGGAGGTGCTGTGAGACCTTCATGTATCTGAGAAGCTGGCAGCAAAGTTGGTCATTTCTGTCCCCTGTGTTCTTTCTCCTCCATGTAGGAATTTTGGGGATTGCACTGTGTTGAGCTGTATAAATCTCCATTTTCAGGTCAGTTTCCTCCGACGGTGGCCATACAACTTCAGATTCCCTTGGAACCACTAGGAATACGTCTGTTTGCACTTGTGCTCTGTGACCAAGAATCCCTGGCCTGGTACAGAGCCCCTTCGAGGACAGCAGCCCAGTGCTTCTATTGCAGGAATGATTGCAGGCCCGGCTTCCAGACACTGTTAGAAGAGGCCAGTCAGGAGAGAACACGGCCTCTGAGGGAACTCCTCTCAGCTTTCATGTTCTCTCTCAAGCATCAGGGTTGGCTTCAGAAGATGCTTGACCTAGAGGACAGATTCTTATGGAAACGACAGGCTCAACTTCCATTTCCTCCCCCAGGAGACCAGCTGTGAAAGAAGTTTTCATCATAGGATGCTGTGCCCAGAGTTCAGATTCCCTCAGAGCACACGAAGATGCCCATAGAGGGCTCTCAACTTGAAAAACACTTTTGCTCAGAGAGACCCAACTGTGAGAGTAGAGAATGCTCTGTCTAGCTTTTGATCCCCTCAAAGGTATGGAGTCTCCCTTGGGGCAAATCTGGTAGGCAAACAGAATTGAGTGGAAGTCCAAAGGGACCAGGGCATCCTTCAGTGGAAATATCTCAAGGGATTCTGATGACCAGAGAGGATTCTCAAATATGCCCTCTGGTTCCCAAGAGAAGACCACACCGCTGTACACAGAGTTCTTCAGAGGACAGAGTAGATAAAGGATGCCAGACAAGTACCACAGGTGCCTTACAAAGGGGCACAGTGTCAATCAAAGATTGTCTCAGTTGTCATGACATCTGGTTATGAAGATTCCTTCTGTTTCTGGTCATGAATATTGCTTCCATGTATGGTCAACCCAGGGTTTGAACTCCCTAGAATAATTTCAGGTGTTTGTATCTTTAAGTATTTCCCGGAAGAATATGCAGAAGCTCCTCTTCCGGGAGCCATCGATGAGCCCATTGATGACCAGTCTACTGTGGCTACAAGTGAAGGCATTGCCCTCTCAGGCTGGAGCCTGATGGGATCCAATGAAGGAGAGGCTTCCTGAGTGCCAGACCTCCTGGTGTACAGCCCTTCACCTCTGCTTTAGACCCCCACCTCCTACTCCCCATCTCTGTTGGTCATGTTATAGTTACTCAGGCGCTGTGTGTGCTCTTACCAGATGCATAGAGAGGTAGTGTGTGCTTTGTTTTTGGATCGTAGGGGTAGCTGTCGCTATCAAGATCTTCAGGACCAAACACAGTGTCCTTCCTCTGCCAGATACAGAAGCTTAACCACTTCTTGTTTCCCCCTCCAGAAGCCAGAGACCTTCATGGTGGATGCCCCCCTTCCCAGGACCCTCCTATCCCACTGTGCTGTGTACACACCCAGACATCTACTGGTCCAGATGACAGACTCCTTATGATGATGCTTCAAACAATGGAGATTAGTTCGCAGAGTGCCTGTTCTTGTGTGCCAAATCCCTCAGAGGATACCTGACATGGTATGAATTCCCTCAGCACGCAAGTCCGGTTTGTGCATATCCCCGTGGATGGTGGGCATGGCATGTCAGTTCCCTAAAATCAGGGAGAGGCCATGCCCTCAGGATGCTCAACTTAGTTTTCAAAGTCCCTCAGAAAACACATAAACTCCCCCAGTCCCCACAGCCAATGCCAAGACTTGCAAGGACATTTCTTCAGGAAAATTCCAGAGGTGGTATCTGTTATGATTCCTGTTAGGGAAACCCAGGAATCACTGCCTTATGGTGTCCAGAGAATGCCTGCCAGCATGTCATATTCCTCGGGGATACCAGGCTCTGATTGTCACAGTGGTGCTACTGCTGTGGGGCTCACCACAGAGGACACCCTGCCCTGCTTTTGGGTTCTCTCAGGTATGCGTGCTCTCTCAGATGAAGCCTGTCAGCACAGCAGAATCCCCTTCAAGGGACCTTTGTCTGTAGCAACCATTCTCCTCGTCATCTACCCATGGCAGGAGCCCAAGAGCATCTTGGCAAATCTCTTCCCTCATGTAAAAACAGAATTTTCTTGCCAGGGGTCCATGTCCCCCTAAAGGAAAACAGTGGTGTCTCTCCTAATGTGGTTATTTTGACTCCAGTGTTAATCAGAATTTAATTAAACAGTCACGAGTTGCAATTATCTTCAATGGGGTAACGGAATAAACTTTATCCAGAGACATCTTGAAAAAGATATCAACACCTTGCTGAAGAAGAAACCTGGCCATATATTCTGAATCAATTTTCATAACTATTCCTCCCAAGCTTGAGTCTGTGCTGAATCTTTGCAACGTCATCCAATCTTGCAGCCTTGTGAATTTTCCCAATATCAGTGTAGCTTTTGAGCTGTCTGGAGGAGGCGGGGCTAGCACTCTGACACTACCACCCAGGGCCAGGGAAAGGCGTCCCCTGGCTGGTGGATGATCGGGAAGAAGACTGCCTTTTCTGAAGAAGCCCAAGAACTTCTTCATGGTGGAGCTTCCCACACCTGACAACCCGCGGGCTGTTGGCCCCCCTCACAACCAACACAGTGATGTAGCTCTGAAAGGAAGCCAAGCGAGTCTCACCAGCACCACCCATGACCACAAAGAGGAACCCACAGGCAAGACTGTGGGGTAGAGTCGCAGCAGCACAGGTGCTCCTGTCAACTGCAACTGCAACCCACTGTCGCCAAGCAACGCATCTAAACACAGATGCAGGCACTCCTCCCATTGGGACAGCCTAGGTCAAACAGCTGTGACAGGTCCCGCAGTCTCAGCATGCCTACTGCGCATGCTCAAGACCTGATGGTTAAATCAGCTTACTAGCTCAACCCATCTTTGCCTTCAAACAGCAGGGGCTTCGAATGGCCCCTTGGCCCGGTTTGCCTTCCCTTGTCCTGGCTGTCAGATGTGTCTCCTTCAGTTATGAACCTGACGTAACATTTCAACATTTTAATTTTTTACTCCTTTACCCCTCATGGGTCCTAGGACCCCTTTGTTTCTTTAGGTAATTATGCCGATTTGAAATTTGACTGAGCATGAGCCTAGAAACGAGTCAGTGAAGAGTGGTAGTCTCCCCTGGTCTCTGCTTGAGTCCCTGCCTCCAGCGGCCTGCCTTCAGCACATGCCTGAATTAAAAGACTGGCAGTGCCACCCATGCTCAGTGAAGCCCAGTGGGTCGGAGGCCGCTCCTGCTGAGACTGGTTCTCACTCTTCTTTGATGTAAAGCACATCTGTGACATGAACAATACTCTAATACACCCTTCTCGTACTGGGAGGTGCAGAGTAGTGTGTGAACACATCACTAAAACACACACAGAAGGCGGAGTGCAACACTCTCGCCTTTGCTCTGCCTCCTGAGCTCTCCAATAAGCGCCCAAGCTGCGTCCTACCCGAGCTTCTCACAGTCCTCTGAGTTTCTTTCATATTGTGGAGTTAAGGTCAAATATATCTTTACTTTCTCTTTGACCTATAAATTGAGTAATAGCAACTTCAGATATCCATATATTTATATTGTGGAGTGGCCCCAAACAGCTGACCACCCCGTTGCCTTGACAGGCTTAGAGGCCCAGGCACAGCTTCTGTGACAGGCTTACTGGCAGGCAACACCGGGATCCAGGAAAAGCTGTAAGCTGACCCTACCTAGGGATCCACCCAGAGATGGGGAAGTATCTGACATCCCAAACATTCCAACCATTAGATAAGGTGGCCAGATATCCCCGAGTCTCGCACACACCTGTTTTTGTTTTACAGATACCCCTAGACAATTGTCAGCCAGTCAGGGTCCTGGACCCTGGAAATCCCCTCCCCCCAACCTCTGCTATGATAAAAAAAAAAACCCACAAAAACAAAAACAAAACTCTTCCCTGCCTGGGATCAGGGCTTTCTCCTCTCACTGCTGCATCAGACAGACAGAGGGACCAAGCTCAGAGCTTGAAATAAAGGCTCTTTGCTTTTACGTGCAGGATTTGGTCTCCATGCTGGTCTTTTGGGGGTCCCCAAGATCTGCGCATAACAATATCAAACACCAAAGATTTTGTAAATTGTAGTGGGCTGCTCTAATAAGCTACACCTTGATCGACCAAGAAGTCCTTCAAGAGGAAGCCATTTCTCAAGGTATATTTGGTGTTATTGAGCTTTTTAATATATCAGTTATGTTCTGCTATGAAATTCTTGTGTGCCCATATACTACTAGGTCTTATGGCAAACAGTTTAGCTTCTCAGACCTACTGCTGATCCATTAGGTAACACCTCTGCAGAGCCTAGGAGACAGGCAGGCTGTAGATGCATAGCTTTGTTTCTTATGCAAATGAAGCTCAGACCATCCCTTGACTTCAGGCCTGGCAGCATTGCAGAGCTATTTGATTCAGGACAATAGGGCTTTTTGCATAACCAGGTACAGTAAAGACTGGAGCAGAATTCCTGGGTGAGGCAGAGCCATGTGGCTGGAGAGAAGAAAAAAGGCAGAGTTTCTCAGAGCCAGGAGGAAGGAACAAGGAAGGAAAGATGGAGGACAGAGGAACAGAGGGGGAAAAAATGAGATAGAAAGCATAGGCTTAGTAATTACTAGGGCTATGAGGGGACAGAAGAAGAATGGACAGAGAGGAGCTGAAAGGCAACAGAGCTGAAGCTGTATAGATAGAATTTTGTCTTAGAGAAATAAAGTATATGGATGAAAGAGCATGGTGTACATAGGTTCTTTTCCCTCAGATAACCACACCCAGACATAGCGTCTTCCCCAGGACCCTGGGAGGGATTTTGTCAGAGCAGTCCTTTGGGAAAATTCCGATGGTAAATATCCACTTTTTGTGTTAGCAAACAGGTAGTCTGGGTATGTTTATGTACACCATTAATCTCAGCACTCATGATGGAGAAGCAGGCAGATCTGTCATCCTGGTCCACATAGTGAATTTCATGCCAATCAGGGTTACACAGTGAGACCTTGACTCAACAACAAAAAATGTAGATACATATTTCATAGAAAATATAGCTTTACATTGGTTACTCTTAATTTTTTTCAAAATGTCTTCATATGACTAAAAAACTCTATTTTACTTTCATATTTTTAAACTAATGATGTGTTGGTTTGACTTTCACATTGTATTTTGATACGGCTATTTTGAATTAATTTTTCCAAACCCTGTTCTTTCCTTCGGAAATTTTCTTCACAGACCTACAAAAGCATAAAATCCTTTCAGAAAAATATTAAATATATTAAACACAAACAAATTCTAATTTTTTCTTCTATCCATAAACTGTATTGGCTATTTGAACTACAGTGACTTCATATGAGAGAATAGGATTGTCAATGGGAAGAGAACCAGTAATCAGAAATGTATTATCACTACCACCATCATAAAAAGAAAAGTTTACATCCATCATCTAACAGTTAAAGGGAAAATGCATTATTTTATAGAAATAAATATACAAAGATTTCTACATTTTTTGCTGGCATTTTTTTCAGCGAAAAATCAATTTTGTGGTCAGTAAAACTCATTTTAAAATAGCATTTTATTCCTTATATGTGGTGAACATTTAGTGACAGAATGTGAGGCAGTCTTTCCTCAGGAACTATGACTCTGTTCTCACTATTCTAAGGACTGGACTTGTGTTTAACTTCCTTTAATCCTCACAGCCTATTAGCTATTGTGTAAAGGTAGAATATAGACAGAGTCTGACTGGGTTGCCCCAGCCCAGGCATCTGGCTGAGTGGAAGAGTTAGAATTAAACCCAGAAGTTATGGCCACACACATGTTCTATACCACACTCTGGAAATCAATAGTCATCTTCAGATGATTTTTAAATAAAAGATGAGTCCATATTGTCTTCCTATTTTTTTTTGTAATTATAAATAACAACAGAGGATTATAGATAACTTGGGAGGGGGTTGCCCATCCAAGTATTAACCAGGGGTGACCCCGCTTGGCTTGAGATCAGATCAAATCTAGCTCATTTATAGTGATAGGGCCATAGACTAATTTTTCTTTCTGAGAAAATGTCTGTGTAGTCAAAATTCCCAATTCTCCTGTCTCAGCTTTCTTAGTGTTAGAATTACAGGCAGGAACCACCATGCCCACCTTGAATTTTTTTTCCCCCAAAACTAAAGGATGGAGCAGACACTGGCTCGGCTGGTAAAGTTTTCCCTTGGCAAGCCCGAGGACCTGGGTTTAACTCTCCAAAAGACAAATTAAAAACCCTGGTGTGGGGTGGGTGAGACAGCTCTGTGTCAAAAGCCCCCACTGCCAGTCCTGAAGGCGTGAGTTCAATTCTCGGGATGCACACGGTGGAAGGAGAAAAGTGACTCCCATAAGTTGTTCTCTGATGTACACATGCACACGCATGTGCACACAAATAAGTTTTTTTTTGTTGTTGTTGTTTGTTTGTTTGTTTGTTTGTTTTTTTCGAGACAGAGTTTCTCTGTGTAGCTTTGTGCCTCTCCTGGAACTCACTTGGTAGCCCAGGCTGGCCTCGAACTCACAGAGATCCACCTGGCTCTGCCTCCCAAGTGCTGGGATTAAAGGCGTGCGCCACCACTGCCCGGCCAAATAAGTTTTAAAACAATAATTTTCTTGAAACTTGGGTGTGGTGATGTGAACTTGTAATCACAGTCCTGTGGAGACAGAAATGGGAAAATCCCTGGAGCTCCCTTGTGTAGCTGGAAGTTTTCCTGTGTCTTACCCAGTCCTGCAGCCGCTCAGACCCAAGTAAACACACAGAGGCTATGTCAGTTATGAACTGGATGGCCTACGGCTCAGGCTTCCTACTAGCTAGCTCTTATATCTTAAATTAACCCATTTCTATTAATCTATAAGTTGCCACAGGGCCCTGGCTTACTGGTACTTTCACAACTTGCTTCTCTTGGCAGTGGCTAGTGGCGTCTCTCCCCTCTCTGCCTTTCTTCTTCTTGTCTTTCTCTTCAGTTTCCCACCTAGCTATAACCTGACTTGCCATAGGCCAAACAGCTTTATTTATCAACCAATCAGGGCTACACATATTCACAGCATACAGAAAGACATTCCACAGCCTCCTGGTGAAACCCAGGCCAATGAGAGGCCATGTCTCAACACAGTGGATGGTATCCAAGAACTGGCAGTTGACTGTTCTTTGGCCTCAATATTCATGAATAGAGAGACAATCATAAGACTACTTTATAGTTAGGTAAATTTGCATGACTGTTCAATAAATTAAATGTATTTTCTAAATAAATTTCCCAATGGATGTCATTTGCCTGTTCGACTTCACTGATGTGTTCAACAAATACTGAGACATTATACATGTCAATGACAAAGTTAGTGCAGGGAGTCTGTGGAACTTTAATTACATATTATGAAGCTAGGGGGAATTCCTACTGTAAGTTAAATGAAAGGTATAATTAGGGCTGTGGATGGAATTAAGTGGAACTGTATATGAGTCATATAACCCTAGGTGTGATACACAGCAAGACAAAGACAAAAAAAGTGAAATGCAGAGTTGTTACATCACCTATTCCTTCTGTATGACTTCCCCCAAATGCCGCTAGAGAAAAGACAGTTTCTGTATCATCTGTTTTTCAAAATACACAGAATTTATGCAATTAATCCTTCAGATATTTGTTCTGAAACTATGCAAGATTTAAAATTTGGGGTACTAATGATTATTTTAAATGTTCATTTTAGCCTTATGCATGAACTTTATAACTAACCCCCATAACTCTGTATCACACTGTCAATAGTTTACATTTCTAGAGCTTACAATCAAAATTCTCCCCTTTTCCAAGCTTCTAGACCATTAGTTGTCACAGCTGATTGAATTATAGCTATTTACGATGATACTATGAATTCCCTTAATGAATAATTAAATTCTATTCTGCATAGCCAATATGCATATTTGTAGCGGTAACGCCCGCATTACCGATACCCGTTCACCATGTCCGAGCGAAGGGCTGCGGATTAAAAATAGAGACAAGAGACAGCGAGTCATTCGCCACGGCTGAATGCTGAATGCCGTTTATTGAAAGAGGGAAGAAACCTTAAATATAGGCTTACAACACAAATGGAGGATTATAGATGTAACCAACCGTCTTATTAAATAAGAAACACAGAAACAATGTAAAAGAGAAAGCCGAGAGGTCAGAGCTCAGAGCTAAAAT